AAAATAATAATTTGGAAAAACCCATGAAGGCAACTACCAGAAGGAAAAACTAAGAAAATGAAAAGTGCTTGTCTCTGGAAAGAACAACTGGCAGGACTGTTGCTTTCATTGTAAGACGTTTGGAGCCATTTCATCTTATTTAACCATTTTCATATATATCTTCAATAAAAACAATTCTCTCTTAATAAAAAGTTACACTCATTCATAAAAAACAAACAAACAAAAAACAAAGAAAAAACCCTTCCTGCCCAGCCCATCTCGATCTCCCCAAATCCTCAGCGCTAATGAGGACTGTCTCCTTCTCGCCTCTCTGGACTGGGCTTTTTACCACTGGAAAGTGGATGTGATTTCTAGTTTCTGCATGTCCTGGTTTATTGTGCTGCCAGTGAAATAAAATCAAAACACAAATTGAATAAATAATAAATAAAAGAACCCATAGTGAGCAAAGGTTTACGATGTATTTTTTTATGTCAAGTTCTCACTCTGTGGCCTGGGCTGGAGTCCAGTGGTGCGATCATAGCTCACTGCAGCCTTGAATTCATGAGCTCAAAAGATCTTCCCACCTCAGCCTCCCCAATACCTGGGAATACAAGTGCCCACCACCATGCCCAGCTAAGTTTACTTATTTTTATTCTGATTTAGAGACAAGGGTCTCACTATGTTGTTCAAGCTGGTCTCTAATTCCTGACCTCCGGCCTTAACGTCCTGAATTGCTGGAATTACAGGGGTGAGCTGTCATGCCTGGCTTGTCATGTACTGATGTCATCAAGGTTTCCTTCTCCAAGTGTGGACACAGCAGCAGACGCCCCTTGTCTCTTGGGTCAGGACACTGGGTAGAGTGGAATAGCAAGGCAACAAAGTCACTGCAGAAAGTGCCCATGCAGAAGAGGTCCAGCAGGGAGGGCCAGTTGTCCCAGGGCCACCATATTTAGGGACAACTCCTCTTTCTGGGCAGGACTGTTCTTTGATTACTTTTGTATTCGCGATAGTTCTGAAATCGTAGGATGATGAGACTCAAGACAGGCTAAGGTTTTTTTTTTTTTTTCCCAAAAAACCATCTCTGAGATTTGTTGATCTCTTGAATATTTTTTTGTGTCTCAATTCCCTTCAGAAATTAACTTATTCTTGACATTTCACAGTCCACTTTCAATTAATAATGTACTAGTACTGATAAATACAGAAATCTTGCAACCACTTATCCTCTGTAAAATATCTATCTTTTGTGGTGTAGATATTATATGCAATATATCTATATAGATTATAAGTCCCACGAGAAAAGTTTTTTTCTTATCTTTAAACAGTTCTATGAATATAAAGTAAGAGTAAATGAGGGGAGCAAGATAGCCTTTGAACTTAGCTCAATATTTACCATTTTTGATCATCTTCATCTTTTCTGATAATCTCATTTTCCACCTGGTATCATTTGCTTCTAGCCTGAAGAATTTTCTTTACCAATTGTTATTGTACAGATCTGCTCATGAGAAATTCTCTTAATTTTCTTTTACCTGAAATATCTCCTTATTTTGTCTGTCCTTGGAAGACATCTGTGCTGGATATAGAATTCTTTTTGACCTTTTTTCCTTCCAGCATTTTAAAGATGTTTTTCTACTTTCTTTTGTTTCTATGGTTTTTAATAAAAAGTAATTGGTCATGACAAGAGGAACAGAGAAAGAAAAACTGGGAAAATAACATGGTAGACCTAAAACTTATCATGTCAATAATGACAAAAACCTGTATGAGTCAACACTCCAATGAAGGGCAGAGATTATATGATTTGGTTTAAAAAAAACATGGAACCCAACCATATGCTCTTTCTAGATATACACTTTCTTTGTTGTTGCTTTTTTTAAATTTAACTTTTATTTTTAGTTAAGGGGTACATGTGCAGGTTTGTTATATAGGTAAACTTGTGTCATGGGATTGTGTTGTACAAATTATTTCTATACCCATTAGTACCCACCCAAGTATTAAGCCTTAGTACCCACTACCTATTTTTCCGATCCTCTCCCTCCTCCCACTCTCCACCCTCAAGTGGACCCCAGTGTGTGTTGTTCCCCTCTGTGTGTCCATGTGCTCTCATAGTTTAGCTCCCACTTATAAGTGAGAACATGTGGTAGTTGGTTTTCTGTTCCTGCCTTAGTTTGTTAAGGATAATGGCCTCCAACTCCACCTATGTTCCTGCAAAGCACATGATCTCATTCTTTTTTATGGCTACATAGTATTCTATGGTGTATATGTGCCACATTTTATTTATCCAGTCTACCACTGATGGACATTTAGGTTGATTCTAAGTCTTTGCTATTGTGAATTGTGCTGCAATGAACATATGTGTACATGTAAGACATGCGCTTTCCTTTTTTATTTAACTTACATTATTTTACTTTAAGTTCCAGGATACGTGTGCAGAACGTGCAGGTTTATTACATATGCATAATCTGCCATGGTGGTTTGCTGCACCTACTGATCCATCCTCTAAGTTCTCTCCCTTCACCACCCACTCCCCAACAGGCCCTGATGTGTATTGCTCCCCTCCTGTGTCCATGTGTTCTCAATGTTCAACTCCCACTTAGGAGTGAGGACATGCAGTGTTTGGTTTTCTCTTCCTGTGTTAGTTTGCTGAGGACGATGACTTCCAGCTTCATCCATGTTTCTGCAAAGGACATAAATTCATTCATTTTTCTGGCTGTGTGGTATTCCATGGTGTATATGCACCACATTTTCTTTATCCAGTCTCTCACCGATGGGCATTTGGGTTGGTTCTTTTTCTTTGCTATTGTAAATAGTGCTGCAATAAACATATGTGTGCATGTGTCTTTACAGTAGAATTATTTATATCCCTTTGGGTATATACCCAGTAATGAGATTGCTTGGTCAAATAGTATTTCTGGTTCTATAACTTTGGGGAATGGCCACACGGTCCTCCAACCTTACATTCCCACCAACAGTGTAAGAGTGTTCCTATTTCTCCACAGCCTCGCCAGCATCTCGTGTTTCTTCACTTTTTAATAATTGCCATTCTGACTGGTGGGAGATGGTATCTCATTGTGGTTTTGATTTGCATTTTTCTAATGATCAGTGATATTGAGTTTTTTTCCATATGTTTCTGGGCCACATAAATGTCTTCTTCTGAGAAGTGTCTGTTCATATCCTTTGCTCGCTTTTTGATGGGGGTGTTTTTTCTTCTTGTTAATTTGTTTAAGTTCCTTGTAAAACATGTGAGCTCTCATCATTCTTGTTTAAACGCCTAACAGGCATCCTAACCAGTGTAACAAGGACAGGGCATGGTGCCTCACGCCTGTAATCCCTGCATTTTGGGAGGCTGAGTGGGGAGGATCACTTGAGTTCAGGAGTTTGAGACCAGTCTGATAGGTGAGACCTCATCTCTACCAAATAAAAATAATTTTAAAAGAAAAAAGGTCAACAGATAAGAAAGGACGAAAGAAGACTTTCTTTGTCACCAGCTTCATTGCTTATGTAGAAAACACTAGGGAATTCTGAAAAAGTCTCTGGAATTAATCAGTGAATTTACAAACTAATTCATAAAATGTGTGTAATAAGTCACTTAGATGAACATGAAAGGATAGCAAACAATATTAGTCATCTAAGAAGTGCAAGTTAAAACCACAATGAGAAGCCATCACACATCAACTAGAATAGGTTAAGTTAAAAAGACATATGATAAGTCTAAACACTGACAAGAATA